TGAGCCACCGCGCCCAGCCCACTTCTTTTTTTAATTGACAAAAATTGTGTATATTTATAGTGTACAACATGTTTTGAAATATGTATACATTGTGGAATGGTTAAATGAAGCTAATTATCATATGCATTGCCTCACATACTTACAGACTCCACCTCCTGATGGCAGAGTTGCAAGATCACATTGCAGAACAGCATGTGGGATGAAACATATCTGTGTTCATCTTTGGAAAATACATCCTGACACAGAAGTATTTGGGACGCATCATTGCTTTGATTGGGAGCTCTGCCTCTCTCAGGCATGCCTGCAAGCTCTGCCCTGTTGGTAGGCATTCATTACCATGTGTGGATAGACAAGACAGCTTCAGGGTATCAGCCCTGTCTTTTTTGGCTTCTTTGTAATATGATTAAAGATAGGTCTTGCTCAGAATCTCTTCAAACCAAATGTGCCTATGAAAAGTGTGCTTAAGGAGGACTCTGATCTTAAAGTGGGGTCAAGTGATACTGAAAAGAATCACTTTTTGAGCTCTTGCCATAAGTTCATGTTGGGTGAAAATACTGAGCTTTTCTAGATTCACTGCTAAATCTTGAAAGTTTCACTTTTTTGGGGGGAGGGGACAGAGTCTGTCTTGCTCTGTTGCCCAGGCTATAGCGCCATGGTATCAGCCTAGCTCACGGCAACCTCAAACTCCTGGACTCAAGCAATCCTCCTGCCTCAGCCTCCCAAGTAGCTGGGACTACAGGCATGTGCCACCATGCCTGGCTAATTTTTTTTAGAGATAGAGCTTCACTCTGTCACCCAAGCTGGAGTGTAGCAGTATGATCATAACTCACTGCAGTCTTGAACTCCTGGGCTCAAGCAATCCTCCTATCTGAGTCTTCAAAGTAGCTGGGGCTGTAGGCGCGTGCCACCACATCTAGCTAATTTTTAAATTTTTTGTAGAAATGTGGTCTTGCTATGTTGCCCAGGCTGGTCTTGAACTCCTGGGCTCAAGCAATCCTCCCACCACAGCCTCCCAAAGTGCTGGGATTACAGGTGTGAGCCACCACACCTGCCTTAAAGGAGTTTTCTTTATCCTTGTGTGTTTAAATTATTATTTTTTTTTTACTCCAGGTTGTGGGATTCAAGAACTTGGCATTAATGGACTTATCCTCTAGTCTTTCTAGAAGCCCACGTAGCTACATAGCTCCTGATAGCCGCATTTTGAGATATGCAGTATCTGCTGCTCTTTGGCTAGTCATTGGAATTATACAGGTAATAAGAGATTATACTTTTAAGTGACATTGCTTCTTTGAACTCTACTTACGTACTGATTACTCTCAAATATTGACCATATCCTGATTCTTGTAGTAGAAGGAAAGTGACAAGAACAACAATAGTAATAACTAACAGCCAGTTCTTATATATCGTGTTACACTTCAGGCACTGTGCTAATTAATTGCATTTGACCCTTGAACAGCATGGGCTTGAACTGCAAGAGTCCCCACTTATATGTAGATCTTTTTCAGCAAACGTGGATCAAAAATACAATATTTGCTGGATGCAAAACCCAAGTATACAGAGTACTGATTTTTCATATACTTGGGTTCTGCAGGGCTGACTGCAGGACTTGAGTGCATGGATTTTGGTATACTCAGGGGTTCTGAAGCCAATCCCCTGCATACCAAGGGGTGATTACAGTTGCTTTGTACATATTAATTACTTAATCTTTATAATAGCCCTCAGAGATAGGTTCTGTTAGTATCCTCATTTTATAGATGAGGAAACTGAGGCACAGGCAGGTTAAATAATTGCCTAAAGTCATGCAGCTCATAATCAACAGAATGGAGTTTGAACCCAGGCAGCCTGATTTCAGAGTTCACATTCTTGTCAATAGTGGAGTTGGAAGGGTCTTTCAGAGTCTGCAACTTTATAGTCATAGGACATACTCCATGTTTAGTTTCTCTATAAGTACAGGGACAGATAAGCTATTTCATATTTGTTTGAATATAACAACAACAACAATAACAAAAAAGAAGTGGCTGAAATAAAAGAGAACTTTCCTTTCCCATGAAAAAGAAGAGCAAAGGTTGGCAGTATAGACCTGGAATGGTGGCTCACTGCTGCCGTCAGGACCTAGAAGCTTATCCTTCTGCTCTGCCACATGGGGCTTCTCGCTCCAAGGTCCCCTCATGGTCCATAATGGCTGATGGAGTTGCAGGAGGTAGTCAGGGGAGACGAGCTCACCTTCTCTTTAAGAGCTTTTTCAGAAGTGCCATTCAACCTCTCCATGGCTAGAACTTAGTCACATGGCCACACCTAGCTGCACTGGAATCTTTCAGCTGGGCAACATTGTGTCCTGCTCAAAGGAGGGATCTGTTACTAAGGAGAAAGGGGAAAGGACCGTTGGGACAGCAACTAGCAATCTTGAACACCACCATCTAACCTCATTCTTTGCTTCTCACTTTACTATCAGTCTGATAGGAAAGCATGGTGATATTCTAAGATTATTAGTGTCTATTCCTCAAATATCCTTGGGAGTTCCTTTAACAGTCTGTTACAGTTTCATAAATTTGTCTAAATTCTTCTTAATTCTAATAAGTCAGGCTTTACTGTTCACTCCTTTTATTTCCCTAAACCCAGCTTCTTCAGCTTTTCAGTAATATCCTTGAATTTTTTTAAACTTTTAAACTTTGAATGTTGCCGTTTTTCATGCCCTTTAAAGGGGTTTAATGTATGTGTACAGAGAGTGTAGGAAAGTGTTTTTTAATAACCAGCTGCTGTAGATTCATTTCTTTATTCATTCACATATCTTAGTATAATTTAGGTACCTGAGCTAATGGATATGATGTAACAAGAACAAGTTACAGATGGTGAAATGTGCTATGAAGAAGCAGGGACATGAGATAGAGAAGGGAGGTGAGGGGAGTGGAGTTTAGGAATGGGGCACAGTAGGGACATCTTTAAATGAGGGGTTAGGCAATGTTATCTTTCTCTAAAACATATCTAAAAAGGTCTACAATGTGAATTTTTTTATTTTAGAAATTTCCCTTTCTAGTATTGTTATTAAATCTGTCTAAGAAAACACTTGAAACCATTCCATTTGAATGTTTAACACATTGTCTATAGTTGAAACAGAATACTAGATATATGCCTTTTAGGTGTTATTCTGTCAGAAAAATTAATTTGAAAAGCAGAAAGTTTTCTAATGACTTTTGGAATTTAGAAGATAAACAAAATTGCAAAACCAAATGCACATTCTGACTACTAAATTTATAAAATATTTTTTATTTCTTCCCACATTTGTCTTATCTTGTTTTAATGACACATGAAAATTTTCAAAATTCAGAATAGGCTTCCTTAGTGACTCTTACCACAATTACAAAATCCTCCTTCCTTTGACAGAAGAATCAGAAATGACAAGTTGAATCTTATTCCTTAGGAACCATTAGAGGCCACTGTGTTCTTGGTTGGAACTTCTTTTTTCTTAAGATACTACACTGTGGCTATAAAAGAAAATTAAAATCCTAAAAGCTAATAAGCATAAACTTGGCTTAATGTTTCAGATCGTGTTCTTTGCTGTCTTTTATGAGAGATTTATAGAAGATAAAATTCGACAGTTTGTTGATTTATGCACTATGAGTAATGTAAGTACTTTCTGACTTTATCTTGTAACTGTTACTTTTCCCTTTTTAAAGGTCACGAGTACATTAAGAGAGGCTTTAAAAGTGATTTGGTATGATTGGATTTTTAGTCTAATTTTCCACCAGTTGTTAATTCCAGAGATAATTATAATGAGCTATAAGTTAATACTTACTCCCTTAATTTTTCTTCTTTATTTGCAGTTTCTTAATTATGAATTTCTTGTGCTGCTAAAAAGTTTATTCAGCCCGAGGCCCCTGAAAATTTTTTGTTTATCAACCTTATTTCTTCTTTTCTTGGAAAATATCTTCAATCTCCTTTCCATCTGCTTTTTAAAAAATACCTATATTATTCTTTATTACTTTATTATCCTGTTGATATATTTCCCAAGAAGTCAATCTTCATTACTTTGGGAGAAAGGAAGCAATTTTAAGAAAAATTTAATTTTTTAAATTGTTTGCAGATGAGTTGCTAATTGTTCTTTTTTCTTCTCTTTTTATAGATATCAGTGTTTCTATTATCCCACAGATGTTTTGGATATTACATTCATGGTAGATCAGTACATGGCCATTCAGATACTAATATGGAAGAAATGAATATGAATCTTAAAAGAGAA